ACACACACACAAATAATTAAAAAAAATTGGAAAAAAAGATAAAGATTAAAAAAAATATTTTAAAGAGCTTGGGAGACGTGAACACATGGAGATGAACCTGTATTGCAATTTAAATAGCTTTCTTTAGTCTGTTAAACTATATTTCCCCCGCATTGGTTTGCTTACAAAGTTTGTATACACTGTGTTCCACACTATTCTTCATCCACATTGTGTTTCATGCAATCACTCTCATGCGTTATGTTTTATAAAATTAATCACAATTGGACCTTGCCCATCTTACCTTGACTTTTCATCCAGATCCTTCCCATTTCCTTCGCTTTTTCCCTTCACCCACCCAACTGTTTTAAAAATCTTTTAACCTTAAATGTGAAAGTCTTTTTTATGCTAATAGTTGCTTGTTTTTTGTTAACTTTTGATTGTGACTTGAGTTAAAGTTTACAGAGAAAATTGATTTTCCATTCAGCAATGTATACATTATAGGTTGTATGATGTTGATTTGCAATCAATTTTAAGTGCCCTCTCCCACCTCCTCCATTTCCTCTTAAAATTGCTTATATAATGCGAAATACAAAAATAGATTTAAATTTTACAATTCTGAAGTAAAGCTGTGCTTAAGGAAATCAAACAAAACCACCTATGGGGCCTATATTGCTATTAACCTCATTTTCAGAAGAGGAAACTAAGGCACAGTTGTTGTTGGTTTTGAGTGCCGTTGAGTCATAGGCAACTCATAGCGATCCTATGACACTTGCGTACGTGACTTTCATCCTTTCTCCCAGTTCATAGGGTTTCCAAAGGCAAGCTATTTACAGAAGTGGATGCCACCCCTACTTCCACAGAGAAGCTATAAAGCCTTATCCTGGCAACACAGAGCTGACCCATGCCCAAGCATCCTGACTCTTGTCTCTCACACCTGAGTTGTAGGTAAGAAGCAGGTAAGTGTCATTTACAACCTTTATAAACCTGCTGGAGGGTCAGCTATGGATCAGGTCTGACTTAATGGCAATGAGTTTGCCCCTATTGACCTAGTCATCACCACCATAAAGCCACTCATCCACCTGGGCTCCCCACCTCTAGATGTTCACAGAAGTCCCTCACACTGACTTCCTGAGGTCTGTCAGCATGGCTGGATGAAGAAGTCGAGGGTGGGTGCTACTTGGGGGGGGGCAGAGAGCGGAGGGGACCTGTGACCACACACAGGGGGTGGGACAGGAAGAAGCAGGGATGTAATAATGACCCAGTACCAGCCTGGGCCTGACAGCACCACTTGAAGAATCGCCAGTGAGGAGAGAGGTCATCTCAGCAGGACCTCCACACCAGACTTCAGGTAGGGTGAAAGCGGGGGTCCCAAAGGGGAGAGATCCAGGGAGGGGACAAGGGAATAAAGTCTCTTCTTGGGAAAAGAGTTAATGGAGTCCAAAGTGCCTCAACCTGAAGACCAAAAAAAGGCCTAGGATCCTTATGCCAATCTTGGCCTCAGTCACTTCAAGTGGCAAGTGGAAGGGTTGGAGTATATAGTCTCTTCAGATGCAGACATTGTTACTCTTTCTAACAAGATCATGAGAACCAGGATAGAGACCTCGTTCTAGTTAAAGGAGTCTGACCTCCAAAGTGGAATTGTCCCAGTCTTTGAAAAACTTTAGGACCCACCAAGTCCCATCATTCACCCTTGTGGATAAAGGCCACATGGGAAATTCTTGCTCTCAGAAATCCCTGTTTCTCAAAGAAATAGCTGTCCCAAAGCATTCCCTCTCCTCAAGGAAGTCCTCACAGGAGCAGAGTTTGAATTGTGGGGCTGAGGAGACACTAGGCCATAAACAGGTCCAGATGGGGCCTCAGAGCCATCCCCAAACAAAATTCTAGCCATTGGTGATAGACAGCTCCCTGTCTCCACCAGGTTGGAAGGGAATGTCAGAGTGGAAACTGGCCTCCAGGAGGCAGTGGATATAAACTGTAGATTTACAGGTCTCCCTCCACAAGATCAAAGTCTAATCGTAGTTATAGAGGCAGAGAAAGGAGGAAGGGAAAGGAGAGGAGGGAAGGAGCCTGGGCAATGTGTCCCTGACACAAGGCCTGTTCTGGGACCAAGAGCAAAAGTCTCCTAGAATCCAGTCTTCCCAGAATACCTAACTCCCTCCTCAAACCTGCTACAGCTGCTCTGCCCCCTCCTCCCCCAAAGCCTCACCGGACAAACAGCAACTGAAGCCTTAATGACTAAGTCATCAACCTGGATCCACAATAGATCTTGTTGTTGATGGTGTGCTCTGTAGAGTTGATTACAAATCATAGCAACTCTATGAACAGCAGATGCAAACCTTATCCTCTCCTGCAATGTCTTCACAATCTTTGTCATGCTGAAGCCCATAACTGCAATCATTCCATCTCTTTAAGGGGCTTCTTCTCTTTCGCGGACCCTCTAGCATTGCAAGCTTGATGTCTTTTTCCAAAGACTGCTCCCTCCTGACAACATGCCCAAACCATAGGAGACAAAGTTTACCATCTTTGTCTCTCAGGAGCACTCCATCTGCACTTCTTCCAAGGTAGATGTGTTCTTTTGGCAATCCATGAGATCTTCAGTATTCTTCATAAAGACCACAATTCCAAGGCATTGTATTGATCTCCTTATTCAATATTTTCATTTCTTTTTTCTTCTTCAGACAGTGTCTGAATTACCTTCTAGTCTTGTCTTTTTAACTGTAAGTTCCAAAATTATCCTCTCCATCTGCTATCTGTTTTCCGGTGTCTGTGGTACAGAGATTGTGAACTGCCATCTCTCTAGTCCATCATCTTGTCAGAAGCAATATGCCATGAAATCCTAGCAAGAGGCGACCCTTAGGAGTCTGAGGCATGCCATATTCACTTCCTGGACACAGCGGTGTCCATAAAAAGCCATTCCAGCTCTGTAGTCACTGAGATATCTCAGTCTGTCTCTCTTCCAGGTGCCCTGAGAAGGATAAGTGTCAACTATCTTCCATTCCTCTCTGTCCACAGAGTCCCGTGACCCTGCAGCTCCATGGCTGCCTGGGTGCTTCTCCTGGGCATTCTGTTCCTTCTGTTCCCACCTGTCCCGGCCCCCTGCCACACCGCCACACAGTCCGAATGCCAGCAAGTTCACCATTTAGTGCCTGGTGTGGAGCTGGCTGGAGAAGGTGTGGATGTGACTACCCTCCGGCGCTCAGGCTACTTCCTAGTTGACAGAGAGCGTCTCTGGAGACCTGATGACACCTGCACCCTCTGCAGTAGCGCCCAGAAGCCAGACACCCTCTGGCTCCTGCCTGTAGCCTTCACTGACTGGCATGCGTCAGGCACAGGCTGCCGACGCCAAGTGACGAAGACCAACATCGTCTCCACAGAGGACATGGCGAAGGAAGTAGCCAAAAGCATCACCAACAACTGGAAAGGTGGGCTGAATGTTACTCCCAAACCAGCCGTCAATGTGCAGGTGACACTGGCCGGCTCCCATTCAAAGGAGGCCAACTTTGCAGCAGAGAAGGCTCACCAAGACAATTACGTCTTCAGCAGGGACCTGGTGGAGTGTCATTTCTACAGGTGAGCACCCAGCAGATGGGGTGAGATGGGACTGAAGACAGGTGTGGGAAGGAGGCACATTTGGAGTGACGGGGATGGGGGTACATCTGGAATGACAGAGGTGGGGGGTTGTCCCCAGGCCTCTCTTCCATTGGAAGAAACAGGAATTCTAGTCCCTATACCGGAAGTGCCCACGACCTCCTCCCATCAGAAGGACTGGAATTAAGAAGTTCCAGAAGAGAGTAGATGGAGGGGAAGGGAACATGGCAGTGTCAAGAACCCTTCATGACACATGGATGTCTAGCAAATGCATAAATCCTTCACTCTCTTGGCACTGACATCCTTGCATGGACTTCCTCCTCCATGGTGGGCAGGTAGCAGGCCTCACTGTCACGCCACCCCCACTGCTGTGTGACCTTGAACATCTCATTAGAGAGTGGCTCCTGTCACTGCCCCTGCTCTCCAAGCTCATGTCCATGGGTGGTCCCGACTCAGTCACTAATTTCTCGGCCTGAGAATTCATCTTTTCTCCCCAGGGAAGTGATGCTCCTGCCAGCATTGCCAAGAACTGTCAGGAGCAAAGTGGTAGGACACCATTCCAAGGGGCAAATACACAAGGCCATGTGACTTGCTACACAGCAAGGTGGATACCACCAGTATAGCACTGTTGTTTGCTTGTCTTTTTTGTGGTTAAAATAATATTCATTCTCATATGTATAACTTAGATCTCTAACTCATCATGTTGTACATCATTGTTTCCAAGCTTTTCTATCCCTCATATCAGAAATTCAGAACCTCCTAAACAGACTTCTAATGTCTGCTGAAGTTCTGGTAATTTTTAATCTGCTTTCTGTCTCTATGCGTTCACCTTTATTAGACATTCACTTAGGCAGGATCACATGACATTTGTCCCTTTGTGACTTATTTCCCTCAGTCTAGAGTTTGCACAGGGAGGTCTATTGGGCCAGTGGTAGAGTTATGCTGCCAAAGACACATGGTTTGAATCCACTAAAAGCTCTTCAGGAAAAAGATGCGCAATATCCTCCAGTGCAATTTACAGTCTTGGCAGGGGCGAGGAAGCTCACTTAAGGGTCAGCTACTAGTCCATTCCAAACCTAGGACACATAACAACAGTGCAAAGCCCATCCTGGTTGGTTGTACGCAGCAGGAGTCATTGCTCATTGCTGTATGGGTAGACCACATTTTGCTTGTCCATTCTTCTGCTGCTGGAGGTTGGGCTGATTCCACTTTTTTGTTATTGTGATTAGTGCTGCAATGAAATATTTTCTTATAATAACAAAGTAAGAAGAAAAGGCAAACATTATGTTGAAAGGTAAAGAAGAGAAAGATACACAATGTCTGGGTCACTAAAGAACAACAGGTGAGCCTTTCCTGTCGGCTCAGTGGGTCAGGGTGTGGGTTTTGAAGCCAGACCACCTGGTTCGTGGCACAGTTCTCCACTCAGCTGTGCCCTTAGGCAATCTGAAGGGACTTATTGAGCTCACACAACACTAGTCACCCCGTCTCAGCTGATGTTTCTCTCCTCTCACAGCTTTCGTGTGGTGCATGATCCCCCACTGCACCCTGATTTCAAGCGGGCCATCAAGGACTTGCCTTCCCACTTCAACACCTCCACGGAGTCCGACTACTTCAGGCTCATCTCCAACTATGGCACGCACTTCACCCGGGCTGTCAATCTGGGGGGTCAGGTTTCAGCCATCACTGCTCTGCGTACCTGCAAGCTGGCCTTGAAAGGGCTCACTACCGATGAGGTGAGTCACTGCCTGGATGTCGAGGCAGCCCTCAGCATAGGCGGCAAAAGCAGCAACTCTGAAGAAGTCAAAGCCTGTAAGAAAAAAAAGCATCAGCACAACATGACAACCAACTTCCACCAGGTCTACAGTGAGCGCTATTCTGAAGTGATTGGGGGGCCCCACACCTCTATGCCTGACCTGCTATTTGGGGCAAAGGCTGGACCTGAGCAGTTCTCTACCTGGTTGACTTCGCTGCAGGACTACCCTGGCCTGGTGGACTATAGCTTGGAGCCTCTCCATGTGCTCATGAATAAGAAGGACCCCAAGAGGGAGGCCCTGAGACAGGCTGTGAGTAAATATGTGATGGACAGGGCAAGATGGAAGGACTGCAATCGACCCTGTCCCCCAGGACAGTTGAAGAACCCCCATAACCCATGTCAGTGTATGTGCGTGGGCTCAGGGAGCACCAACCAGGACTGCTGTCCCCGTGAGAAGGGCCTGGCCGAGTTGCAGGTGATGAACTTCCAGGCAACAGATTTGCGGGGAGACATTGTCACTTCCACAGACGCCTACCTTAAGGTATTCTTTGGTGGCAAGAAGCAGAGAACATATACCATTTGGAACAACAACAATCCCACTTGGACAGCACGGCTGGACTTTGGGGACGTGCAGCTCTCCACAAAAGAGCACCTGGAGGTGCAGGTTTGGGATGAGGATTTTGGCTGGAATGATGATCTCCTTGGTACCTGCAATGAGACTGTCCACTCAGGCACACATCAAGTAAACTGCAAGCTATCTCATGGTCAACTGAGATTCCAATATCAGGCCAACTGCTTGCCGCACCTGACAGGGAATACCTGCCAGGAGTATGCCCCACAGGGTTATCTGGGAGAGGCCCCAGGAAATCGAAGTGGGGCAGTGTGGTGAGGACAGCAGGCCTCTAGGTAGCCTGTATGCCCAATTGAAAGGGTTCTCACAGGGGGGGGGGAAGTGAGTCTCAGTAGTCTCTTGCTTTCTTTCTTTGAATTGAAGTGGCTGAATTGACAGACCAGCACAGAATCTCCCTGTCCAAACTAACTCTTTGCTTTTCTTGAGCCTTAAAAGTGAGCTTCAATTGCTCCATGAATTGTAATCCCTTTCCATAGTCCACAACTTAGGCAGAGCTGGGAAGAGGCCAGAAGACTATTACCACCAGACTGCGCCATGTCCGTCTTTTAAGAACTTTCTTTTAGGTATGACAAAATTTTTATTCTATTTGCTCTAAGCCCTTCTGCTCCAATTGCTTGTTTTCTCTGTATCCTGGGCCCAGTATGCTTTGCCTTGCAGACAAATTACAGTCTATCTTGACCTGCCTCACTATGTATACAGCCTACTAAATGTCAATAAATATGATGCAATGGTGACCATAATGATAGTTGTTATGACATAAATGAGGATGGGGGTAAAGACATCTCTATAGATAAACAAGGAGGAGAGCAGACTACACAATAGGCTAAAGTTATTCCTCAGGGAAACAAGTAATATAAGCAACTTGTCTACCCACTTTTGCTGGAAACATCAAATCCAATATCTTTTTCTTTCCTCATAATACTTTTCTAAGTATTTAGATAAACTCACTTAAATGGCAATAAAGAGGACTTCCAGTGGGATGGTGATCTAGTCAGACTCTAAGTGGGCACCCAATAGCTACCTGTGCATTCACCACAGAGAACTAGCTAGCAGAGAGAGGAGCACCTTATGGACCATTGAGATTAGTCAGCAATGAGGAAAATGTCTAATGGGCCACCACACACCAAGAGTACCAACCAACCACTGAAACTTGGGTAGGAAAGGGGTCAGGCAGCATTATTTAAGCTTTCCCAGCACCCCAGGGGCCTTTGTCTGCTTAGGGGGAAACAACCCCTCCCACCCAGCCACAGGAGAGCATACAGATACCTCTTAACAGGAAACTTGTGGAGAAAAGTGTCCAAGGGCAGCACTCCTGGGACTCTACCAACTCCTCAGAGGCTTTGTCTATTAAGGCAGAGACATGTTACGTCCCATCTAGCCACTGCAAGCATCAGTGAAAACTTAGGGAGGAAAATGTCCTGGGAAACACTCCTAGGACTTTTCCAGCCTCCCAGGCAGTTTTTGGCTCAAGGAAGAAACAGCTCTTCTCATCAAGCTACAGGAAAGGACAGAGGCAAAAAAAGACAACTCTGCCTACTCCTAGGGAAAACAACTGCCTCCCATCAAACAATAGGACAGGACAGAGACACTGGACCAAAATAGCTGGGCAAATATAGAGACTCCATCTCCATGCCTCTTTAAAGACAAGGTATGAAGAATGTGCCATAGGGAATGAGGAACAGAATCATTGGGTGATGATAGGCAGGAAAGATTGCCACTGAGAAACTGAATCAGAGGCAACATTTAGAATCTGTAACACTACCAATAACATCATAAAGGAAAGATACTGACAGCTACCTACACAGACACAACAGAAATTGTCTCACACATACCAAGAAGAACTTCACATAATGTCAAGGAAGCAGCAGCCAGGATCAAGAATTATGAAAAAACAAGTCTTCTCCTAAAAAAGCAGAACAGATTGCAAGCCCAATGAATATTCCAGAGATAAGAAGGCAGAAGAAATATACTAAAATGCAGTTGCAAGAACTGGTACTTAAGAAATTACAAATGGTAGAAGAAAGAGTTGAAATCATAAGTAAAGACATACAAGTTTGTGGGTTTTTTGTTTTGTTTTTTTTTAATTATCACAAGACAAAGAGGATACAACAAACACAGTATAAAAAACGATAAAAAATTTACAGAGGCTTTGGATTTCCATTCATTCATTGTTGCACATTTGTCCCCTCCCAAGGCTCCCCCCCCTCCAGAACACTATCCTCTTGGAGAAGTAAAAGAAAAATTCTTTCATTGTTTTACAAACCCTCCCCCAGGACCACTCCACCATGTAGCTATCGCTCTAGACTCCTGTCATGACAGAAATACCTAATCACATATCTCTTTTAAACAGTTTTTTCGCTCCTCTGTTTCAGTGCAGTATACATTATTGAACCCATCTTACTCAGTCTCTCCCCAACCCCAAGGTCAGTCCTGTTTTACAGCAGTGGCACCATACAATATTTGTCCTTTTGTGACTGGGATATTTCACTCAGCATATGTCCTCCAGTGTTACCCATTTTGAATAATATTGCATGAGTTCCTTGTTTTTCAATGCAGCGTAGTATTCCATTGTG